ACCCACCTGTAACCCCGCCTGCATGAAGGCCAGAAGTATGCAGCTCACCAGCAGCCGACCCAGGCTGTTCCGCCGGGGCGCTCCTCAGTGGCGTGGTACAAGATCTGGACGGATCCAGATCCGGATCAAGACCAAAATCCAAGTCGGCGAGCGAGTGAGAGAGGAGGTACATATACATGCACACATACGCACACACACATACACGCATCTTTGCCGCCTCCGCAGCAATATCGTACCATTACCCCCACCACCCCCGTGTTCAACCCCACACCCCCTCCGCCTATCGCGGGTATCCGTCTACCCCACAGCAGGTCTAGGGTGGGGTAGGCTTTTCACTCCACTATGAGGCTCACTCCTCACCCCGCCGCCGCCTCCATTACCCCTCCCCCCCCTGGAGGCCCCCCTGGAGCACCCCGCGGCACATCGGCACCTCGGGAACATAGCCGCCACACCGCCCCAGAGACACATAGCGACGTACGACGTACGACATACGACAGAACCCCCCTCCCATCACACCTTACGCAACCCACACCACCAGCTATTCCTCCCCTTTACTAGTCTCTACTTTTACACGCCCCCTTTTCAAGACCCGACGTCGGCACTCGTTTTTCTGCATTTTTCTGTATACTAATCTCCCCAGTCTCTCTAGACCTAGACCCAACACATTTACACATACATACATACATACATAAACCGTTCGTCCCCCGCTGCTTGCCGTACCTGGCCGTGCTGGTACTGTCCGTGATTGTCTTCGTTGATTCGCAGCAGGGACGCGCAGGACAGCCCCTCCTCACCCAGCCACAAACCCGCCACCATGCAAGTCTCGTTCCTGAGAGGGAGAGATAGAGTGTGTGTGTAGGTGTGTAGATGTGTGTGTAATGTGTTTTTGTGCATGTGTTCGGGGGGGAAGGAGGGGGAATGCGCGGGGAAGGAGGATGACGCATGGGACCTTTCAAAACAACAAAAAACATTCAGCTACTTAAATCGCTGAGAAAAAGGCGCGGGTGCCCCCTCTCCCCTTTATCATTGCGCTGTAACCACCCTAACTGTAGACGCCCCCGCCCCCGCCCCCTTCACACGCGCGTGGTTCGTCTTCCCCCTCTCTCCCCTCCCCTCCGCACACCCAAAGTCCCCCCCGAGCCCCGTACTGCCCTCCAGACGGCTGTACTGCAGGTAGAGGTGCCCGGCTTCCTCTCTCCCCCTCTTACCACCCCGCCCCCCCCCCCCG